AGGGTAGTGGTTGCGTTGACCTTACCTACTGTACATTTGCGCCATCTGTTGGGATATGAGGTCAAAGCAAAGTTTGTTGTTCTTACTCTAAAATAAATTGAGTTTCCCAGCCAAATGTTGTGTTAAGTATCATGAGCTAATATATTTGGTGGTTCATTTCATTGGCGTCTCCTTATGTTAGGGCAACGACATAAACCCTATGCTTCGCTCCCATGTGCTACACATTTTCTTCGTTTATCGTATCTTTTAGTCCCATTCCCCATGATGCGCTGTCATGCGTGAATTCTAGGGTGTATCACCCATATCGAAATGCATAAGTGTTTTGTATGCTCCAACTTTTGCTAAAATTCTGGCCTAATGCATGTTTTTTTTTTATTTTCCCTCCTTTGACAGTTTTAGGGCCTTCATTCTCTAACATTCCCAAATCACGATGACACAATCCACATATGCATCTCCCATTGACATTTCCAGTTTCACCGACCTAGTAGTAGCCAAAGGGATCAACCGGTCTCCCCGCGATAAGTTCCTCGAGTGTGCATTTGCTCTTGACATTGGTGGCTCCCTAGCCAAACTCGCATACCAACACACTTTCCGCTACAAAGTCTGTGTTCCTAAGGAGCTCTCGGACCCTCATTCCAAGCGTCGCACGACCATCTGCGGTCCTTTTGAGTTTTATGACTATCGAGAGCACGAATATGAAGGCCACAAACTTTGTTTTACTAAGTTTGAGACGCGTCACATCGACGCTTGTCTCGAGTTTATTCGTTCCACCATTCTTCCGGCCTATGTGAGCGCTGACAAGGAATCAGTGCGTCTAGTAGGTCGTGTTACCGGCGGCGGATCTTATAAGTACATGCCAAGTATTCTTGAGAAACTTGGAGATGTGGAAATCGAACGAGAAGATGAGATGGGTTCTCTAGTGCAAGGATGCATCTTTCTACTGCGAAACATCCCCGATGAGGCTTTCATCTACGACAAGAGGGCCATGCCATCGCAGATATTTCTTTCTTCCTTCATGGTGAACACCGCACCATTCCTCTTGGTAAATATTGGTTCTGGAGTGAGCTTCCTCAAGGTGGAAGCCGACGCCTCCTATGAACGCGTTGGTGGTACTTCACTAGGTGGGGGAACGTTTTGGGGGATTGGAAGTCTGCTTGCCGGCGGTGAGTGGTGCTTTTTAACCTTTAATTTATGAATTATGGTGCATTTTTCTATATAGTTTTGACCAATTATTTCCTCTAAGTCAAGGAAAAATTGTCTTATAACTCGTGAGGTGTATTGGTGAGATAGGTGCAGGTCTTGTTATTATCTAAAACCCATCATCCATGGCTCATAGTGATTACCCGTCAGATCCCAGTCACGACTCTTCCTAACTGAGAAGTTTTGGAATAGATGAATTCGAATTTTGTCTTGCTACTTCAAATCATCGCGGCTCATACAGTTGTTGTAGGGATGCACGAACATACATCTCGCTA